ATTATAATATTATTATAATATCATATTATATGATAAAATAATAATATTAGAGTTATTAATATAATTATGATATTATTTGTTATAATATTACTATTATATTATATTATATTACGAGTTTGAATTTTATATTTGGAAGATTGTCAATTTTAAATTTTATTAGCAGTATTATGGGTATTATGAAGGTTTTATTAATTATATTATGTTAATTTTTGCACAATCTAAAAGTTAAAATTGTCTTTAAGCTGCTTCTGATTTTAGTTGTAAATTCTTAAAAAATTCTTTAAAAAGCACTTTTAAAGAGATTTATCAAACACTAAAATCGACTTCTACTATAAGCAGAAGTCGATTTTGGGATAGAAAAATAATACCAAACTACGCCTGTCTCTTTGAGGTTGAAAGTGTTTTATTCACACAGCTGTTGATACACACTTTTTTTTTAAATTGTTTATTGTATACCCTTTTTTATTATTTTTTTCCCATCTCTCTCTACCCCTCCGAAAGTAAACTGTTTATTTCAGTTAAAAGCTTGAAAATTTGAAATTGCCCTTCACTGTTATGGTGTTCTAATTACAATAAACTCTGCTCAACTACATGAAGCATTAAATGAAAACTTTGGTACAAGGGAAACAATTAAAACAAAATGTTTTTTAGCAAACCTCGTAATATGAAGAAAATCAATTGTGGGCAATTGTAAAAACCTTTTCTTTCTCTTGGTAAAGACTAATGGAATCAATTTCTAGCGTAAAGTGTTGAATTTAGTTAAGAAATAAAATTGCCCATTTGGTAAGGTAATAGTTTTTAGTACTAACCTTGTTAATCTGAAGAAAATGCTTCGTTAAAGGAAAAACAAAAGTCAAACTAAACAAGAAAATTAATTAGAACAATAATCACCTTGGTGTTAGAAGCTTCAAATCCGTCATCATATTGCCTGTTCTGCAAATCAACACTGCAATCAATATCCTCAATCACTAAAATGGACCGATTCGAAGTCGACAACAATGTCCTCCTCAGCTCCGAGTTGGAGTATATACTCGTCAAGTCCAAATCATAAACATCGAACTTGAGGTAATTAGCCATGGCGGCGATCAAGCTCGATTTCCCCGTCCCAGGCGGGCCGTAAAGCAAGTAGCCTCTCTTCCACGCCTTCCCGACCTTCTTGTAGAAATCCTTCCTCCTTATGAACCGATCCAGATCCTCAATTATCGCTCTCTTCATCTCCGGCTCCATCGCTAGGGTTTCGAACGTCGCCGGATGTTCCAGATTGATCGATCCCCAAATTCCCCCGCAGCCTCTTCCGCCGCCGTCCTCTGTTTCATCGTACGGACACTCCCGATTATAGAGCTTGATGACCCTATCCTCTTGTTTGATCAAATTCGCTCGGAAGAGGACGTAGGGCAAGTACGACTCCAAAACCCTGTCCTTGAACTTCTTGTTGAAGGTGAGCTCAAAGTGCCGCTTCTCGCCGGAGTGGTTGTTCTTCGGCTCGGTGTGGACGAGGCGCCATTTGAGACGGAATGTTTCGAACTCGTCGAGTACTAGCTCTCCCTTGTCGATGGCGACGGCGATGGATTTCTGGCGAGGGAGCTTGGAGACGCGGAGGCGGGAGGTGGAAGGGGGGAGCTTGGTGCGGAGGTAGAGGTCGGCGGCGTCGAAGATCTGGTTGCGGGTCATGCCGGAGAATTCGTCGACGACGAGGGTGAGATCGGAGGAGGAGAGAGGAGTGAAAAGGTGGCGGATGGCGGAGGAGAGGTAGGAGCGGAGCTCCTGGGGGATGAGCTCGTTCGATATGGAACGGACCAGCATCGTTGACGCCGCCACCGACGCGTACGCCGAGAAAAGCGCCGACGCTGATGACGGCATTTCTTTGAAGGAGAACATTTTCGTGTTACGATTTCTTAAAAGACAGTGAGTAGATGAGAGACTATGGCGGAAGAAGTGGAGTGGCGATTTTATTTGGTGGAGAAGAAGTCGAAACTATAAATAAGCGAGGCTTTTGCGGCAAAGGAAAAAGTTTGGCCTGCGCGGGTTTCTTCGTCAGCAAGGAATTTAGCGCGTGATTTGATGACTTAGCAAAAGTTTACTGGCTTTTTTATGAAATTTTTTACCCTCAAAAATTGGGGATAAAATAAATTAAAATATTTTCAGAAAATATTTTTAGAAGGACAGGATAAATGTTCTAAAAATCAGTCTCAGGAGGATACTGAGAACTCCCCAAGCTCTCTTTATCTCTCTATATATTCTTGTTTATGACTAATCCCTCTGTAGTTGTTGGGACGACAAGTATGACATTCTGGGGTAGCAGACGTGATAGCTTCCACTAATTTTGTGGCAATATAATTTCAACAAATTGTCGCGATCAAGAGAATTCCAAACTCAAGAGAATTATGAGAGAATTATCAAAATAAACAAGTGACAAGAAGGACGAGAGCGGTAATCAAATGATTGATGGAAAAAGGGGCGAAATAATGTCTACTCCGGTCTGTCACTAAAGTTCTGTTCATTTTACCGATTCGAGTTTAGAATTTGAGTTTTGTTATAGTAAAAAAACTCTTAAAAACAGTCACATTTAACTTTTTTATTACAATAAAAAACTCTCATATAAAAATGCATCTAAACTCGAATCAACGAACTAAACGGACCATTAATTATCTTGAAAGACAACTTAGGATCACACTTGGACAAACACAGGTTGACTTTGAAAACGTACTTTAATGGATTTTGAAAACGATCCTAACACAAAAGCTTAATGACATGGATGAAGGTGGACGATTTCCAGCTTTTATTTATTTATCTATTTATTTTTTATATAAAAAAATAAGCGACTTTAATAAAAAAATATATATATATTATGGGATAAATACAAGTATTACACAATTTTGAATTGTCAGTTAAGATCATAATTATATTATACAAAGAAGGGTTAATTCCAAATTTTGACACCCTAAAAAGTGGTCATCGCGTCATTAATTAAGAGCTAAACGATGTATTCATATAGGCCAACCATCATACTCCTTTTTCCTGTTTGGAACCAACCATCATGCTCTTGCATTTTTGGTAGTTTTTCATCGGAGAATGTATCCTTTTCTGAACCATTTTCCCCATATGCATCATAAATTAAGTTTTCAATACTGTGGGATTGCCATTGTGATATACACGTGTAACTTGTGGTAGTTTTTCATCGGAGAATGTTATCCATTTCCAAACTTTTCCACATGTGGCATATGCATTATGAATCAAGTTCGCAATTAATGTGGGATTGCCATGAGTCTTTTTTTTTTTTTTTTTAACAAGACAAGACTACCAAATAAACAAAAAGAGAGAGAAAGAGAGAATTGCCCTGACACCCCTGTGTTTTGTGTAAATTGGAGAAACATCTCATAGACGGCTGCCCCCTGCCCCACGTCATTAGGATCATAGCTCAAAGGGGATTAGATCATCGACCATTGACGGATTAGCATGACGGAGGTGTAGGCCGAGAATCAGCGATGTCACCGGAATTTAGTTGGAGGATAACATTTGGAAATTAAACTGATGAAGAAAAAGAAGGTTGGTTTCTTCTATATTTCAAATTAGTTGCTTGCGCACCAAGCAATCTCTCTTTCTTTTTTCTTCTAGCATGTGATTACTTGACACCCTTTACTTCAAAACCTTCAAAGGCTTCTTTACCATTTCCCTTTTTTACTTTGAATCCACAAAAGAAGAAGCATCTGATTCTGCCAATAAATTAAGCTGGTATTTGAGATGCGATAAGATGGTTTTATTACTCACTTTCGGTTGAAATCTCAGGCTTAATATTCTGATTATACGGTTACTATTACAAAGTCGGTTTACTTTAGTTATGTTCTCTTAAGCTAGCTCATGCTTTTTTTTTTTTTTTTTTTTTTTTTTTTTTTTTTTTTTTTTTTGCTTTGGTTGTTCGATGAAGGATACCTGGATATGCCAAAACAAATAATAATAATAATAATAATAAATAACTTGTCGATAGCATATTCTCAATCTATTCCTACGGTTTCATAAAGTTATTCACTTATCCTTTAATGTTGTGAAATTGCTAACCAAAACATTGAACTTAAACCGTGAAATTTAACACTTTTATAATAAAAGCATTGATGCAATGGCTACAAGGGCTATTTTTCTCCCTGCCATTCGACTTGCTAAATATATAAGATAAGAAAGGCATTGATGCAATGACGACAATGACAAATGCACAACTCTGCTCATCTCAATTCTCAACTGGTTTGACATCTTAACACCGTTGAACTAGAAAGTCTTTTTCTTAGAGTAATACTAGATGGGAATCTGAAACATTTTCCGTTCTTTTAAGAGAATGCTATTGCAAATATGAAAACAATATCATGCGGGTACTGTGTTAATTTAGACTATCAAATCACATCAAGTTTTATCCTTCATAACTTAAAAGTGTGAAAATTTAAAAGAACATGATTGAAAATCTGACGGTTCAAAAGTACGCAATATTAGTAGAGTATTCTTTACCATATTCGAAAAAGAAAGAAAAAAAAAAAACTGTATACTTCCGGTCTAAATCGCACACAGGGGCCTAAAATAGACAGCAGAAATCGACGCTGGCAGAGTTGAAATCTTCGACCATGCATGCTTGTCTCCATTTGTTGCTTCAATCTTTGAAGCTTTCCGTGGTTCAATACCCTACTTATTTGATTAATATATTCAAAAAATTTCTGTATTTCCTATTACTACTAGGATTCATAACCGTTTTGATGCAGAATAACTGATTTCTTTTTTTTTAGCTCATAATTTCATAATCACTTCCTTGCTCCGGTGATGGGTTTTGGGGTTCTCATCGCTGGTGAAAATGGGAAAGAACGTTTAAATATATTGCAGCCCTTCAAATTTAGATTATTTTTCATTGGTTTACTAATTTATATCATTGGTTTCCCCAACAAATTTAATGTAAACATTGGTTTTTCCAAAAGTAGTTCCCACAACTAAGGACTTGCTATTACTAATCTCAATCATATTAATACTTATATGACAAATGCTCGTTCACTTTCCCACCTTGATTCCTATGTAGAAATGTACTACCATTTCCCAGAGAACGCAGAAACTAAGCACAATCCACCATTACTCCTACTTCTATATCAGCATTTGACAGATTTTCATCCCCAGAGTTTCTAAGCGTATAAGGTGCTTTACATTAATGACTGCAAATTACCTCTCCTTCTTGTGACGGTCTTTCTTCTAGTATTCCTTACTGATGGTTTTCGCTTCTTCTCTACTTTCTGCCTCTTCGCTCCTAGAGTCTCGGCATTGTTTTTGGCCTTTTCATCGCATTCATCGCCTTCCATTTTCTTCCGTTTGAGAAGCTTGACAAGTCCTTCAAGCGCAACATCAGTGTTCTCACTCTTCATCAACTCCTCCGCAACTTGGGCTGGTGTCACCTCCGCTTCCTGCATTAAGGCTTCAATCTCTCCGAACAGCATGTGGCTGCCATGGATTCCCAAGTAATTTGAGGCCAAAAGCTTGAAACCATGGTAAGTACAGTAAGACATATGAATATGCATGTCCATGCGACCAGGTCGCAGAAGAGCCGGGTCTAGCCTGTCCTTGTGGTTTGTGGTGAATATGATGATTCTTTCATCTCCACAAGTAGACCACAATCCATCTATGAAGTTTAGCAGTCCAGATAATGTCAACTGCATCAAAATTACAACAAGGGTACTGTTAAATTGTCAGCAACTTTAATCTATATAAGAGGAAAAATAAAGTTGAATTATTTTAGAAAAAGGAACCATTGTTGAGCTATACTTTACACGCCAACCAGACTCTTCTTGTGGTGCCTTTAGACGCATATCCACACGTGCGGATTTGCCCCTTTTTTTTTTTTTTTGGCCTTTGATTCAACACAAACAAATGGAAACCAATAACATAAGAGAATTGGAGTTTTGCTTGATTGTGGTAGGATGGTGTTGGGGCTAATTTTATACTGGTTAAACGAGAAGTGAACAAAGTAGTCAATTCTAAAGCGCTCATTCATAGCCAATGAGATGATAACACACCTGAAATTAAGATTCATCAAATCACAAAAATCTAATAGGATAATTTTCACTCCAGTCCCACCTACTGAAGAGAAAGGGGAAAGAGGCAGAGGAAACGAAAGTTTCTGTAACTGTTGCAACCGGATTATTAAACAAAATGTCTGTTTTTTTTTTCTTATTTTATTTTTATATTTTTGGTTTTGCAATCATCAAATTATATGACAGAGAATATGAAGAAACTTACAGATGCTCGAGCGCTACTATCTTGTTGGTTATGATCAGGTTTCTTTCTTCCTTCATTTTGGCGGCGATCGGGCAAATCCACACTACAATCAATGTCTTCGATCACAAGGATGGACCTATTAGCCGTAGCCAGAAGCAGCTTTCTCAGGTCGGAATCTCGGACAATATTTGCAAGCTGCAAATCATATACGTCAAATTTCAGGTGATTAGCCATTGCGGCGACCAAGCTCGATTTACCGGTCCCGGGCGGGCCATACAGCAAGTACCCGCGTTTCCAAGCCCTCCCAACTCTCTTGTAAAACTCCTTCCTTTTCACAAACCTGTTGAGATCCTCAATAACCGAGGCCTTCAAACCGGGCTCCATGGCCAGTGTGTCGAAATTCGCAGGGTGTTCGAGATTGATCGACTCCCACTTCATGCCACCGCAATTGTGGAAAGAATTGTTTAGAGTGTACATCTTTAACACCCTCTCTTCATCACCGATCGCTTTGGCCTTTTCAAGTATGAAAGGCACGTAAGAGTTTAGCACTTTTTGCTGGTGTCTCTTGTGAAAACTCAGCTCAAAGAACCTTTTTTCGGACCTCGGAAAATAAGGGTCGCCGGGGCTGTTCTTTTCAGGCTCCGAGCAGACGTACTTCCATTGGAGCTCAATCCCATCGTAGAAATCCACCACCTTCTCGCCCTTCTCGAGACGAATCTTCAAGTTCTTCTCCTTGGGGGTTTTGCTGATCTTAAGCCGTTCTGTTTTGGGACTGATCTTGGTGCAGAGGTAGACCGAAGCGGCGTCGAACACTTGGTTTCGGCTCATGCCGTTGGCCTCGTCGATGACCAGTGTGAGAATTGGAGTGTGGGCTTTGAAGAAGTAGCGGAGAGTTGAGAGAAGGTAGCCTCTAACAGGGTGTGGCACGAGCTCATTGATCATGGACCTAAATAGCATCATTGAGGCAGCCATGGAAGCATAGGCAGAGAAGAGTGAAGATGGGGAAGGCATTTCTTTTGTGAAGAACATGTTTTTCTTTTTTTTTTTCCCTTGGCGTTTGGTTAAGTTTTGAGATTTTGAAGAAGAAGAAGAAGAAGAAGTGTGCTTTGCTTTGCTTTGCTTTGCTTTGGGGTTAAAGGGGTGTTTGGGTTATGAAAGGAGTGAAGGCTTATGTGTATATATAATATTGGCTTTTGGAGACTCTAGTTTAGGTGGGGGTCGTGGGGCATAGCTTGCTGTTTGGATTTTTTATTATTATTTTTATTTTTTTGGGTGCCAAATTGGTTCGAAAACTGAATGGAAATTGCAAACAGGGTCCCTTTTTTTTTTTTTTTTTTTTGCTGGGAAGCAAACAGGGTCTTTATCCATCTCTATTTTTACCTTGTGCTTTTTTGTACTACTCTAGCTTTAGCCAGCCACTACTTCTGAGACTCTATCTGAGGCTGATTGTACCCTGTCCCTCAATTTATCACACAGTTGTAATTTGTCTATTGAATTATTCAGCAAAAAAAAAAAAAAAAAAAAAAAAAAACATGTCTATTCCTTTTGTAGTTTTGGCAATTTAAGACTTAAATTTACCCAAGTTTAGCAAATTGCCATTGTTTAATAATAATATTAATTTTTTGACAGATTGATATATAATTTGTACATATATCATTAATTAAAAGTATGAAAGATCTTTGTTAATCAACATTAAGGTAACTTTATTAAAAATTCTGTTTGATAAAACTTATTTAAAGATCTTAACTCAAATATAATCGGGTTAATTAATTACCAATGTATAAGTCACAAGTTAATTTCTGTCAAAAAGTCAACAATGTAATTATTGCAGATTCAAGGTGTAAATTGTGAAAATTAAAGTGTATTTGGAATTAGTTTTAAAATGATTTTATTTTTTTGTATAAAAATAAAAATGAAAACATTTTCATTTTTATTTTAGAATCATTTTTGAAAATGCGTTTGACAATTTTATTCTAAAATTGATTTCAATTTAAAAAAAAAAATAAACATTTCCATTCCCGTAATTTTTTAGAATTTTTTGGGTGCATGAAATGGGTGGGGCTGAACCAAGATATTCGATGTAGAAGCTCTCTTTCTATCACTACCATTCCTTGTTCTAATACTACATTCCGTCCTTCCACACATCAAAGAAACTTGCAATTCATTCCTTAAAAATTTTGCAGGGCAATATTTCCACAGTAAAACCTACGAAAGAGGATGATTTTTTTCAAAATCCCATCGAAAGGCTTGTCTTTTTTATTCAAGACCCCCCCGGGGGGGCAATCGGTGAAGAGTTGGGGGGCAGTCAGAGAAGAGAGAGGGGGGCAGAAGAATCTCTGGGTGCCTAGAATTTTTCGATCTGGAGCCGAAGAGGCTGATCGTCAGAGAAGAGTTGGGGGGGGGGGGGGGGGGTCGGGCAAAACGAAAACGGAAAACAGAAAACGATTCTCAATCGTTTTCAGTTTTGCTAAGTGAAAACGAAAAAGGAAAAAACGTTTTCAATTTTTGTTTTTCAGAAAATGCATGCCAAACACATTTCTAAGTGCATTTTCATTTTTTAGTTATTGAAAAACATGCAAAATGGAAATGGAAATGATTCTAAACAGGCCCAAAATTTCTGGCAGAAAATTGCAATAGAGTGAAAAATTTAGAGGGCAACAATGTAAAAAGGCTTTTATCCTAAGCCTAACAGGGTTTTTCTTGGAAAACAATCCGTCATGTGGACCACGGTGATTTTTACTGCAAAAGATTTTTCCTCAATTAATGTTGGACATCATATCCCAAATTACTTTTTTGATTCTATTGCTTACCCAATTTCTCACATACCAAAATTGTCTATATTTGATGTTTGATTGATCGTTATAAGATTATTTCCCTGCATTTGGTGGTTGTTTTCGAGCTTACTTTAGTATGATCTACACGTAAGCATTCTGTTCAACTAGGGTAAGCTAATGTGTGTGTTATTTTTTGTTTTTTTAAAAAAAAAAATGTTGAGACTTTTTAAGTACATTAATATATTAATAGGTTAAATTTTTTATCCGTCAATTTATATAAAATTAAATAAAAATTAAAAAATATGTAAATTTAATAATTTTAAAAACCTGACGTAAATTTAATAGTTCTAAAAACTTGACTTAATGATACGTTAAACTTATTGGAGGATTTTTTTTTTTTCCTTTTGCTGAACTACTGAAAATGTTTTCAGAATTTCTCTGCAAGTAATAAGAACAAAAGGATGACAAAAAAGGTCCACTTCCATTGCTGTATAAGAGAACAAACAAAAATTGATTGCATCATTGGTGCGAGTTTTCTATACCACCTATAGACTCGGTGCTTTTTCTTGGTAAAGTCCTTCCTTTGTCGTTCATGCTTGCGTACTTTGGGTTTCAATGAACAAAACCTAAGTGGAACATTTGGTTACATGAAAAAGTGTTGAAAAAAATAGCCAAACAAACATGTCACACCCCATTAAGTTGTTCCCGTAGATTATCCACTTTCACTAATTTAATCCAATGAAAACTCAGCCATTCAAAGCAATATGATCTTGTCTAGGGGAAAAAAAGTTTCGAGATTTGTGCTTCCTTTATTTTCTCATAGTTTGGCACTTTAGTTCTTATTTTGGCTACTTTCACTTATCAACATATGTTAGCTTATGAACGGAATAACAATAATTTTTTACATAACAGTCTCATTCTTGAGTTAAAAATTAAAAAAAAAAGTAACTCGAGTTATAACTTTATTTAAATTCATGTTTTTTTAAATTTGAACTCGAGTTTAAAATCGAGTTTAGGACTAAAACTCGAGTTCAAGTTTTCCTTTCAACTCGAGTTCAGAAACTCGAACTCAAATTAATGAACAGTATTTTTTCTATTCTTAAAAATGCTATAACTTTTTCATTTTAATTCTGATTGAGATAATTTTTTTTCTATGCGTTGACAACAAAAAGACGAATAAAACCCCATCCATATACCATATTAAAATTTTTCAACATTGAGTTTTTATTAAAATACTATCTAAATACAAATTCAAGTTTTGACTCACTCAAACACAAACTCAAAAAAGATTCTTATCTCAAACCATAACTCAAATGTACATAACCAAACACAAACTTAAGTGACAACTTCAACTCAAATTATAACTCAAATTCAACTCAAAATCTACACTCAAGTCACTTAACTCAAAAAGGACAAAAGAACAAGCCCTATGTCTCCTAAATTTTTTGTTCTTTGACATTTTAGTTCCTGCATTTTGTTTTTGGTGATTTACCCAAGTTAGTCATAAAATTCCCTAAAATTTTATTTCGTTAACGATTGGAATTAATTGCTATTCTTTCATAAATTGTGAGAATTAATTCCCAAAAAAAAAATTTTAGAGAGAAATGCATTAAGTAGGTGTGGTAGGAGGAATGGAAGGGGAGAGGGAGAGTGGCAGAGGAAAAGGGATGGAGGTTGAACAACAATCTTTTTATTTAGTTGGAGGAAGAGAAAGAGGAGAAAAGAGGTGAAGGGAGGCTCTATAGCTCTGGCCACCATTTTATATCTTTCTATTAATGAAAGAATTCATACAATCTACAAAATAAAAGGTTATAAAAGATAATTTTATCTTTCAAAAAGTTTAACATGAAATATTAAAAAAGATAACATAGTAATTAAATGAATTTTTATTTATCCATCTTTTAACTCTCTCTTTTTTTTATCGAATAATATAAAATATTACTGTAATTATCTTTATCTGTCTAACTCTTTTTATCTCTCTTAAATGTATGTTTCAATTTTTTTCTTGATTTAAATTGTATCTGTAAGAAAAATATTATAATAAAAATATTAAATTTAAATTTTTATAAATTTCTTACAATAAAAATATTAAATTTAAATTTTTATAAATAAAAATAGTGTAGTAATATAACTTGATTGATTATAATGAATGAGGCCTAAGAATAGTCCCTTAGGATAGGTCCACGTTATTGGAGAGTACAACAGAGAGAGTGAAAACAAACAGATTCATCCATTACATTCACAAGTTTACAATCAGGATCTTCTATGCAAAGAAATCATCGGAGCTCGCGTCCACCTCCAAAGCCAACGCCGAGCGCCGCCACACATCGCCAGAGCTTGCATCTATTTTGGAGCCCTTGAGTCCTGCCAGACCATCATAGTCGCGTCCACCTCTGAAACCCACTTCAAGCGCTGCCAAGCATCGTCAGAGATCGCGTCATTCTAGTGCTCTCAAGGGCGCTGGACAACATCGGAGCTTGCTTTGTTGTTCGTCCTGGTTTTGCTTTCTTGGCTCTTTATTTCTGAGTTTTCTTTTTTTTTATTTTTTATTGTTTTCAATTGAATAGCCACAGTTGGCATTGATCCAATGGAGACCCAAGTTTCCCTCATTGATTCTTTGTCTTCTAGTGGTTGCGTCCTTGGCCTTAGTTCTTCATTATAAATATGGAGTTCTTGTAGTCAACTTTTCTTTTGATGATTGTATTTTTTTTTATTTGAATTGCTAATAGAAATGTAATGATTTTTTTTTTTTTTCAGATTTGTGATTAACTTTGAATAATTATTTTTTAAGGAATGCATCTTTTTAGATTTGGGTTTTGTTCTTGTTCGGAATGGTTTTTTCGGATTTGGGGTTTGTTTGTTCGTAGAAAATGAAGGCTCACAAGTTCAAGGTATTTTTGGTAAAATGTAATTTAAGTCGTTCTATTCTAAAATCATTTTATAACTACAATTAAATTAAATGTCTTGGCTCATTTATTTGATCAGTTTGAGTTTTTAAATTTTAAATTTTAAATTTTTATAATTAAAAATTATTAAAAAATTTTAAATTTAATTTTTTTTGTTACAGTTAAAATATTTTAAAAAATATCACATCTTTACTTAAATTAAAAACTCAAATTAAACACGTTTAGATTTCATCCTATTATTACTCTTATTACTATTTTCAGTATTATTTGGCCACTCTAACCAAACGCAGCCTAACTTTCGGATTATGATATTGCACAAAAAAGTAGCCTGCCAGCACTTAGATTCTAACTTTCGGCGTGGAAGGGAAGAAAAAGGCCCTGATAAAGTTGCTGTTGCTCTGGTCAAGCACATCTTTGTCACTAAATTAAATTTTAAGTTTCATTTGTTAGTAC